AAAAACTATAAATAAAAACAACCCGACTCACCAGGAAGCGCAGAAATTGTCTGCAGATGTCACAATTAAGGACTTGGCTTCCTGTTTGTCTTCCAAATGTCTCATTCCTGTCTCCCTGTCCTCCAGAGTAACGTCTCCTTCATCTGGAGCTCCTCGTCTGTCCTCTGTCTCCGTCTGTCCCTGATCTGTCCCTGAGCCGTCCCAAAACAAAGCCCTGCTGCTGCAAGATGCCCTCACCAATGAATGAGCAGGAGGAGGGGGGAGGCGGGGAGGCGGGGAGGATGGGCGGAGGAGCATGGGGGAGGAGGGAAGGGCAGATTTGCATAGAGGGAGGGGGGGGGGGCGTTAACTGTTAATAACGTTATCTGTAGGACACATCGACAGCCGGCGTCAGTCACCTGCTCCTCAGGAGGCCTCTGGCAGAAGGGGGGGGGGTCAAAGGTCAAACTGGACCAGCAGTCCTGACTGAAACATAAGAAAGGAAAAGTCCTGGAGTTCTGCACTGAAACACCAACACCCCAGTGACCCAGGAGGGGTCAGTGTCTGCGTAACCCGACACCACCCAGAACTCAAACCAGTCCCATGCCAGCTGAGGCCAGGGACGATGTGGAGCAGAGCTCGGAGGAGAACGAGGACTGGGAATCATTTAGAGCAGAGTCACAGCTTCTTTATTTGTCATACGCACCACATGTGGTGCATGTGGTGGAAATTCAACAGGCGGCTCATGGGCCACTTCCGGCCCGTCAATGAATTCATTAATAAAAAGGGGGAAAAAAATGAAAACATCCGTGAGAGACTTTTAAACAATCTGAAACATCAAACATGTCGCTCAGAGAGGTAAACCTGGTATGTGCCAGTTAGAGTTGTTCACGAACGATTCATTCAAATGAACAAATCTTTTGAGGGGACCAACTGAATTGAATCACTTCATTAACCGATTTGTTCGGTTCGGTTGAGCTCAGCGCGAGCGTGCCGGTCGGGAGTGGAACTTCCGCGTTCTGTGACTCACTCGTGACGTGAATCTGAACGACACAGCGGCGTGCGCCATGCGGGCGGGGAGGGACTGTTGTTGACACCTGAGCGAATGTGACGTGATTCATTCACTAAATAAACTACATGCATCAGTCTTTATAATAATGATAAAAGAAAGCGGACTCGTGTTTACGTTTAGTGAACGTGCTGCCGTAGCGTTGTCACTTGTGGCGCGAACATAAGCTACACAGAGAGGAGACTCTTTCAGGGAGGGCAGAGGAGTGCTTCATTCAATGAACGTACTGCTGATTTGCACATAAGAACACAGAGAACTACTGCTGAGGAGTGATTTGTTGGCCTAGTACTACGCTGGAGTGGCTCTGTGTCGCTCACTCGTGTACTGCATGAATAAACTGCATGAACAGTGAATGAATCTTTTCAACAAATCATTTTAACAAACTGATTCTAGGGATTCAGTAAAGAACTGCCATTCCCATCACTAGTGCCCATCTCAATTTTCAACATTTTTATGAGCATACAGAAGAACACATTCAGAAGAGCCCCCACCTCACTGAAAACACTGATACAGAAAACAAGGCCCGGCTAGGCCTCCCTCTGAAACATCATTCTTCAGAGAGAACACGCTCTGTTAAACCACTCAATACTTTCCCCCTTATACGTACCGGGAACAATCCTGGTGTCAGTTTACAGATGATAACAGAAACTTTAACATGAATATCAAAACAAAACTGAACAGGACATAATCGAGAACAACCCATTTCCACACTCAGAAACATTGTAAACTGTCAGAAACTTTGTAAGCAGTCAAAAACGTAAACTGTCAGAAACAATGTAAAACAGTCTGAAACTTCATAAACAGTTAGAAACATTGTAAACAGTCAGAAACATTGTACGCAGTCAAAAACATTGTAAACTGTCAGAAACAATGTAAACAGTCAGAAACAGCATAAACAGTCAAAAACATTGCAAACAGTCAGAAACACTGTAAATGTTCAGAAACATCGTAAATGGTCAAAACATTGCAAACAGTCAGAAACATCCTAAACGGTCAGGAACATCGTAAACAGTCAGAAACACCATCAACAGTCAGGAACACCATCAACAGT